CCTAATGCGAATGGTGTTGATAAGGAAGAGGCTGAGAAGCAGCGTCTGAAACAGGGTATGCTTTTGTTTGCCGAAAAGTACTATCCCTCCTTAGCAGATTACATTCGTCAGTGGGATGATAATCAGTCTTCCAGTGATGCGTGTAGCGAAGAGGTGGGGGATGAGGCCGAGGAGGACAACGACGACGAGGATCGACGTTTAAAGCGGGGTCTGCTCTTGCTGGCTCAAAAGTACTACCCACCCTTGGCAACTTACCTTTGCCATTGTAATGAAAAGCATCTGATGCAGCAGACGCATGCTGAAGACGATTTGGAACAGGATAAACATTATCTAAAGCGGGGTCTACTTTTGTTTGCTGACAAATTTCACCCTACTTTGGCAAACTACATTCGTCAATGTGATAACGTTCAGTTGTCTCATGGCGCAAGTGATGTGACTGGAGAGGACACAGAAGAACAGCTTTTGAAGAAGTACCTCCTAATATTCTCTAAGAAATTCTATCCCATTTTGGCAACTTATATTCGCCACTGTGAGGACAATCAGTTGCCGCCTGATGTGTGTGGTGTGGGCGAGGATGTTGATGCTAGCCATCAGTGTTCGCGACTCGGACCTCCGCCTTACGCCACTCCTTCAGAAACCAATACTTGCCACAGCAATGATGATCAGTCCATATCCAATCCACCTAATGTGGACGAGGAGGATGATGAGGAACAGCGTCTCAAGCAGGGCTTGCTCCTGTTGACTCAAAAGTACTACCCCTCTTTGGCAGCCTACATTTGTCAGTGCGATGACTATCAGCCGTCCCCTTGTGATCCCTGTGTAGGTGAGGAGAGGACCGAGGAGCAGCGTCTTAAGCAGAGTCTCCTTTTATTTGCTAAAAAATTTTATCCCTGTTTGGCAACTTGCATTCGCCAGTGTGATGGCACTTTAGTTTTAAATGATGAGTTTATCAAAAATAATGCCGCTAACTCTAACCTCGATGCTAAGGAAGGTAGTCCTGTCGATACGCCAAAGATTGTGTGCAATGAAGTGAATGAAGTTCCTTTTAAGCACGTTAATGCATCAAATCTTTCCTCTGAGGTTACGATGGAGGCTTTTGAAAAAGTCATGCCGCCCACTGGCCTTACTGTTGACACATCATTTCGAAGTAGCTTGTGCCATTCTCTTGAAGGTGGATTTGCTGAGTCTCCATATTACGTTGAACGCTGTACCGTTGAATCTGTTGATTCTACTGCTCCACTGTCTCAATCCTCTTCCACGAAGTTGTATTTCAGCAACACTGAGGAATTTACCACAGAGGAAGGTTTTTCACCCACCGCTCCTTTGTCCATCCAAAGGCGAATTAGAATTTACTTGGAGGACCTGGAGAATGTAAGAAAGGTATCTTTAATACCTTTGTGCAAGACAGACAAATTTGGAAACCCTCAGGAGGAGATCATCATTGATTCCAATTTAGACAGCTGCACTGATGAGTCGAAACTTTCTTCTGTTGACGTTGAATTCACTATGGAACAACGAAATTCTCCTCCTCTTGATTTAGAGTCTCAGGATGAAGACCTCAAGAACTGCGTTTCCGCCATTCTCAAACACATTTGGTCGGAATTAGTAGAATGCATCAGAAGGGAGGGTTTAAGCGACATATACGAGCTATCCTTAGGTGACAGGCGAATTGAGGTTCCACAAGACGACATCTGTTTGGTAAGGTGAAAGAGAAGTGTTAGTCCCTATCCCTAAATAGTTCCACTCGAAGACCATGCCTGGATGAAATTGTGGCTTCGATTAACACGAAATTCCCTTTATTTCATGTTTTAATTACAGTTTATAATGCACTGATGTGTCCATTTCTTATACTGGTAGGGTTCTATGCACCCACCGCATTGTTTTTATTTGTGAATTATTTTCTTCGATTAGCTTCAGGTTGTAAAACGGAGACCCACGATAGCTCTGTAATATGCAGGTTCCCTTGGGATAAGACTGAGTATATCGTTCTCGTATGGAATTCTATCACAGCTCGTGCGTCAATCAGTTGTCGACGCAAATGACCACGAAAGGTGTCGAGCTAAGGTTACCTATTTCCGTTGTTGACGCTATGGCAGATTTCCAGTGTCCTACTTTGGCTAAGTGTCCCAGATCCCT